TAGCTGAGAGTTTATGAAAGTTTGATAAACTGATTCCGAAACATCAGAGCACATTGGGCATCGGCTCGTATACACACAGTTCACATTTCTATAATTAGTTTTGTTTTCTTAATAAACTGTGTCTATATACTTTTTGAACAACTTTCGTTCCCGTCCAAAAGTGAAATACTAGTTTACGAAAGTTTTGCTGACTTATTTTTTTCGTCTATATCTAAAATGTGAATATAAAATTTAACAAATAATTTGCAGTCAATTTCTGCCTAAAAATTAACCTCTATAAAAATGTATTTTCTTTTGTGTTTCTGACTAATTGATGTTCCGTGCAAAATCTTTTCTCGAAAGTGGTAAAAAATTTAATCATGTAGTATATAAGAACAGTGACTTTCAGTGTTGTAAGTGAGCGTTTGTATGTGTATAGTTTTTAAGTTAGATTTAGGTAATATGCATGATAATTAGTAAATGTGTATAGGTTTAAAGTGTAAAAAACATCGAACTGTGCAACGAGAAAGTATATTATCATTTTGTGCCAATCAGTGATAAAATTAACAATAATTGTGAAAAAAAATAAAAATTTTATTTGTTATTTATCAGTCTAACCATTTTTTGACAGTCATAGAAAATTTAAAAAACAGTTTCCTAAATTTTAGTGAACACTCATTAAAGGTTCATGCATTCTTTCTAAATAGTAACAAAGACAAAGTATTATAAAAATACTAAAAAATTATTTATTTATAAAAATCTTCCAAAAGTTTGTATTCCTCTTAATAATAAATATACACAATTATCTTATATTTTAAAAGATTATAATTTTTAACGATTCCAATTGTCAATAAAAATCTGAGTTTTATTCTAAAATTAATCAAAGATACTAAAAAAGTAAGATTAAACTGGCATTGTTTATGAATTTTTTTAAAAATTAATTTCCAGAAATTCATACTCTAAATATGATTTATTTTCAAATTTTTTATTTAATCAAATTGAAACACAGTTATGTTTTATTTTATTGTTTTAACATTCTTTTGTGCTGAAAATGATAGAAAAAACCCCGTCCCAGATAGCACAACAATTTGCAGCAATTCTTCAGCAAGTTTACAATGCCAAATTTGTTAGTTTGCAATGTAAATTTGCTGCAAAACTGTGGCAAATAGCTATATGTCCACGCTTTGCGAAGTTTGCATTGCAAGTTTGCAGAAAAATTTTACAAACAATTTGCAGAAAATTTTTATGGCAAACTTGAAGAAAATTTGCTGATAATTTGCTCAAGTTCATGTCATGCGCAGTAGTTTTCTTTGGCACTTAGGGCTGCGCAATAGATTTTAGTCGCCTTTCCGTTAGGAAAGGTTTGCAGTAACAAAATATCATCATATTTACAACAATGACATTTTTTAATTTTTGTCGTAAAATGTCCGCAAGTTTTCTTAAAATTTGTCATAAAATTTTCCTGCAATTTTTCTGAGAAATTTTTCTGCAAACTTGCAATGCGAACTTCGCAAAGCGAGGACATATAGCTATTTGCCACAGTTTTGCAGCAAATTTACATTGTAAACTTATAATTTGGCATTGCAAATTTGCTGCAAAAAGTTGTGCTATCTGGGGTGTAGAAAAATCTTCTGGGAACGCCTAGAGTCAAGCCTAGCGGAATCTAGAAAGCGTCTAGCATCGCTGGTCTGGAAGATCTAGCTTGGCCCAGTTCTGGTGCTACTCAGACCCTGGATAGCGTCGCTAGTCTGGAAAGTCTATCCAGACCCAACTCTGGTGCTGTCCAGAAGGTCTAGATAACTAAAAAATTTTATTTTGTAAATATCTAGGGGTTTTCGGGGTCGCTGATTACAAATCAGAAGTCAGATTTTAAAAATTCAAAAAACTTTTTTTTTAAACACACAGAGAAATTCGATTTGAAATATTAGGCTTCAATACTAGTAATTTAAATCTCATTCCTAAAATAGTCTACCTTTCCCGCTCTACGATGAGAAATTTGGAAATGAATGATAAAAGGGGAAAACACGTTAATAGGCTTTACGTATTACGTTCATATGCTTGGTTATAGACGGTGCAAAGCAGATAAACATATCGATAGCCGCTTCTGGAGTGAGTTCTACTCGAGTCTAGTACTGAGTCCTGAACGGACTATAATGTGAGCAAAGCGGTGTGAATCGTTTTATTTTAAACTTAATGCAATAACTGAAATCTTTCTGAAACCTAAATTATTATATTATAATTATCAGAACATTCATATTTCTTGTAATTATTAATAACACAGTAAAAACCCGGGCTCAAAATGATCCAGCCAGCAGGATCATTTAGATCCGCAGCAAAAATGAGTCAAGTAGGCCATGTTATTTTTAAACTTCAAACTATTCTTACATTTTTATTTATTTGATTTTAGATTCTTTATTGAATTTCCAATTGAATATTTCAATAAAATGATAGTTGCTTCCTCATGGAAGAATATTCACCCATTCAAAATAATAAACAATAAAGCACTCACACTTGATTTTTCAAAATCTGCCATTAGATTTGTAATTAGCTACCCCGAAAAGTTTTAAGTACTCGGGTCAGCCGCAGATGATAGTTTTTTGTAGGGCTGTTAAATTAATGAAAACAATTATAAAAAATTATTATTATTATTACTTCTATTAACCTATTAAGGCCCATAGATTACACAGCGTTTCTAATGCCAAACTAACTATTGGATTCATAGCATATCTAACTGAAAAAAGGTGTGGACGTATAAAGAAGTTGTAAAGAGAAAAGTTGCTTATTTTTTCACGTTCTTTCCAATGGCGGTATTGGTTTTTTAAAACCGATTTTTTATTAAATTGTTCAAACAAATTAGATAACCAATTATTTTGCAAAAAGAAAAAAATAGGGGTAACTGTTTCTCGGTAATCTATGTGTCTTAAAATGGGTTAATATACTGCCCTACAATGAAAACACATACGTAAGAGACATTACACGTATTTACATGTCACTAACGTATATGTTTTTCTGTTGTAGGGCAGTATAGTATATGAGATTTTGTCAAAATTGTATCAACTATCCTTGGTCTTCCTTATACTGAAAGTTATGGAAATCTTAATTTTTTAAAAAATTAGTTTTGCAAAATTACGTGCTGACATTTTTTTCCGTGTAAAAGTGATTTTTTTAATGTTGTGCAAGAATTTTACCATTTTTGATCTAAAATTTTGTCATAAAACTATTAAAAATGGACAAATTAATATGCTACAAGCGTTTTTTAGGCTTCAGTTCAGTTTAGTTTTAGTTGAGATGAAACACCTATTAGCTATGAAGCTTTATAAAGCTATAATACAGTGCAGTGCTAGGTTCGCAAAAAACGAAACAATGACAAATGTAGGATCATATTCTACAGATAGTAAACTAATTTTTAATGCAAAAAAAAATTGTAAAAAATTTTTTGTTTACACGAGTTCCTCTCCCTTAAATGAAGAACTTTTTTTAATTACTTTCAACTTGTATGTCATCTTATTAATATTTTAAGCTATACCACTAAATTTTTTTATATTTTATTTAAAAAGTGTAAAAGTTATCATTCGATGCTTACGAACGTTTTGGTAAGCGATAAACATTTTCGAAGTGAAAATTTTGATTTGAAATCAAAAATCCAATATTTTCGAAATTATTTACATTTTTTTATCTATATGAACGTGATTTTAGCTGAAAGTATCAAAATTTAAAAATTTTTTGAACATTTGAAAAGAATGTCTGAATTAATAGGTAATTAATTATCTTTTTTTCTAAGTTTTATTTTATTTTATAGTTTCGATGTTTATAGTTTATAGTTTTTCGTTTGGAAAAAAACTCTAAAAGTGAAGAATCAAAGCTGTAATAAATAATACAAAAAACTGACATTTTAATCTGCAATTTCTGCATCACAAAGCAACCCTTCCTTTCGTGTCAATTGATTTATTTTTCAAAAACTTGTACTAGACAAAAACCTTGAAAAATTAGATTTCCATGGTTTCGTCCGCCGCTGCGGCTAAAGGGTTCCCTACCTGCCAGTGATTCCCCTCTCTATTGCTACGCCTAGTTACCACCCTCTCTATTAACATTAATTTTAATAAAAGATTTACACGATTTTTTTTGTACAAACCCTCCGTTGAATATTGTTTTGCAAAACTGTTTTTAATCTAAATACGTAGCTATTAATACTTATAAAATCCTTCCCTTTTTACCTTCTAATACTTTCCATATTCAAAAGCTATTCTTTTAATACAAAACTGATTCAAAAATCTAAAAAAACATCATTATATCATTAAAAAACACATATATATTTAGAAAATATGTCAAGTGTTAATTAATTAAATGTTTTACTTAACCTTTAATTTCATAAGCTAAGGGAAAGTTAAAGGTGATTCCTATCAGTAGAAACAGAAAGCTGGTACATCTGCCTGTAGGTAAGACTTCAGGTGCAGCGGCGGTTAAAACCGTAGAGCAAATTCGCGAGTGCGGTGAAAACAATCTGTAAACATATATCTTAAAAATACTTTTAATTTTTATGTTAGTCAATTAGAATTTTGAGAATCAAGTAAACCGTAAAACCATTCTTTATTTTATACTTTGCATTAAAAATGCGAAAATATATTTTAAAAAGTTTTATTTATATATTAGTGATAACATTCTAGAAAAAAACAAAAAATTATTAGTGTAAAAAGTATTGTTTACAATATGAAAACCCCTTAAGTGTACGTCAATCGTGGCTTGGATAGCATGTTACGTGCTTACAATTTTGAGTATCTGGGAAAGTATTAGTTTTAACATTTTCACTGATAGTGAAAGTGAGGCTGAACGGATAATTAAAAAGTTCAATTATACAAACGAAAAACTGATTTCTTAGAGATTTGAAAGACAAGTTTATTATCTCTAATAATTACTAAAATGTTTTTGGAACACTATGAATAACAAATTAATATTACATCAATAAAAATGCTTAAAAACTTTATTATACATCTAAAAGCATATGTTTATTTAAATGTTCACAGATCTGATATTCTTCATTTACAAAATGACAATGGAAGAACGTTCCTGTGGCCGTGAACGTGAAACACCTGTTATTTCAACAACTACAATCTTATCTTCAACTTCTTTGTCTGATGATACATCTAAAAATACTTCGAATTCTCCTCAAAAAGTTAATAAACGATCCTTTGATGTCGCTTTTTTGGTAGCACCGGATGAGAACCTTTCAAAACGTCAAAGCGAGAAAGTCAGCGTAGTTTGTGTTAATAAATTGACAGATATGACTAATGATTATTTTCGCCATTCTATAATGGGAAATCGACATGACTGTGAAGGACAGGAGAAATCATCTCAAAAAGTAACTAAAAAGCAATCTGAAAATCATAGAAAGAGGTTACATCAATATCCAGAAGACTGTTTTAGTTGTTCTTATATTTCTTCAAAAACAGTAAGTCCAGTATTAACAAGAATTTCTTCAGAACAAAATGTAGAACTTTATACTCATGCCAGATCACAAAAAAGTAATACTTTGCCAAGTCTCTCTCAGGATTCGCAAAATATCTTGGGGAGGTATGTGGATATGATTGAACCAATTGGATTAACTTGTTCAACATCATGTTCGGAAGGAATTGGTGAATCAAAAAGCGCATTTACTAAAGTATCATTGAATTCATCAAGAAACGGTTTCGATGATGAACAAACATCTCCTAGATCATCGATTTCACCAGACGGAGCAAGCTATCAAAGCAGTATTAGTCCACCTGTTCTCCCTTTGTCAGGAAATTCTACCTTCAAATGTTGTTCATTACCTACAAAAATAACATATCCATTCTTAATGGGACCGGATGCACAAAAGTCTAGTTTTTTGGATAATATAAAGACTTCACAAACACCAAAGATACATAATCAAATGTATCCCAGCCTACCATATAATCCAATTTCCGTTTTCCCTCAAATAAGCGACACTCTCTCAAGACCTAGATTCCTAACATCTACTGGTAGTGTAACAGGACTATTACCAGCATCTTTAGCAGCGCTGACACTTCCAGCTCAAAACGTGTGCGCCAAATGTAATCTTTCATTTCGTATGACTTCAGATTTAGTTTATCACATGAGATCGCATCATAAAAATGAAACTTTGGGGGAATCATCGAGAAGACGACGTGAAGAGAAACTTAGATGTCCAGTTTGTGACGAAAGCTTTAGAGAAAGGCACCATCTTACACGTCACATGACGGCACATCAAGATAAAGAAAGTGATGCAATGGTTGATCAAGTAGAAGTCAAGAGAAGAACTGCTCCCATTCATAGCAAGTGACATAGCAAATTTTAGTCCACGAATAATTTTCATTCACAAGGTATCATTAAAAACTTTAAATCAATACGTATAAGATCTCATCTTTAGGTGAGTTTGTGATCTTACATAATACATTATTATAGGATATTACAAAAAAAGTTACTTTTCAACACAGAAACTTGCAATATAAAAGTAGTTTTAACAGATTCACAATCATTAGAAAAATTTCTATTTCAAACAACTATTTTTCCTTAAGTCGGTAATAATATTCAAGTACTTTAAATTTTCAAAATATTACACTGATGCACAAGAAAACAAGTTGTCTGTTTATTAATCCTCAGATGGTAAATTCAAACGGTCTACACTTTTTGACAAAAATTATAAAGTTAGAAAACCGCAGTTCTCAAAGTGAAAAGTCTGTGAAAAGCGAAGTCAGGATATTTACAGAGGGTCCATTACGTAACTATTATGCATTCCATTTTTTACTTTCCGCATTCCGCAATGTACTTTTCACTTTTCGCAATCTGTATTTTGCATCTCACTTTTTCCCTTTCGCATTCTACTTTCCACCTTCTGCATACCACTTTTTGCCTTTCATATTCCATTTTTTTTTCCGCATTACGGATTCCACCTTCCGCATTCTACATTCCACATGTGGAATACGGAAAGTAAAATGTGCTATGCCGAGTAGTTACTAATAAGTTTAGTTTTTTTCCGCACAAGTATTATTGTACTATTTTTATATAGAAATGACGCGAGATTTAAAAAGACTAACCTAAAATTAGGTTAACCCAGTAATGTCTGAAAGTTAAAACTGGAGCATATCTAGTTGCTGAAAATGAATCCGAAGTCAAAATTTGCTTTATTATCCTCTTTTTTGAAAAAAATCGAGAAAACTATCCTTAATTGAATACAAATAAAAATTAAGAGATATGAAATTGAAAAAACAGGTTGTCTCTTAAAACAGAAAAATATATATTTTTAAAAGGTAACAAAGTAGAGTGGTTTGTGTTTTTATTTTTGCCCATAAAAATGAAACAAATTTAATTTTCAATAAGTTGAATGCTCTAATTTCTATTAGACATAAAACCCTAATTTTCTATTATTTTTTCAGTTTTATGAAATTTTTTGAGTGAGACTCAAAATTGATTAATTTAAAAAGAATGAAATTATTCCACTCCACAAAATTAACCACTTCACCTCACTGTCGATATTTTCCAGATATTCTATTTATTTCAACTATTGAAAAATCATCTCATTTAATTTTAAGAAGAAATCAACTGATAACTTCATCTAACCTATCTTTATAAACGATAAAAGACCAGTGAATCATTCCACCCTATATCTTATCCTATATTTTTTCTCGAAGAACATAAATCAAAAAGTAAAATTGTTTCATCACTTTTAATTTTTTTAACGTTAAAAAATTATGCCCTTTATATATTTTTAGATTTATTAACAGTTTTTTTCTATAGAGATTAGATAATAATTTTTGAGATCTTAAATGTCCTAAGGATAATTTTTCGATCCACCCTTATTCCTGAATATCATCTTTTAAATAATAAATAGACAATTTATAAAAATTCCCTCTAAAGAAATCTAAAGTCATAAATATATTATAGTAAAATTAAGTGTTACGAGACATTTCTTTATTTAAATCTTTTTCCATAGTTTAATTTTCCATATTTAAAAGTAGTTTTTGCAGATCAAAAAATTTAACATAACAAATTTTGTTTGAAGATGTGATTTGTTAGAATAAAGATATTCTAAAATATTGGTGTTGTTTCAGAGGAAAAAATATCATTATAAAAAATGTTAACTTCAGATTCGTTTTTAGCGGACAAAATGCAGTAAGATATATTTCTGTTTTAAGATGCAATAACTTGTTATTTCAATTTTATCTTCATATTTTGATTCTTTTCATTTAATAGTAGCTTTTTACCCTGACAAAAGTTTTTTATTGATGTTTAATCAGTTTTGGTAAGTATATTCTTTCGAGGTATTTCGAAATTTGTTTCCGAGCCAATTAGTTTTTGTCCAAATCTAAATTTCTACGTAACCTAACAATAATACATTGTGCACCAAGAGAAGAAAGAAAATGTTTTCTGACGAGCTTCTAAGTTGCTGCTCGAGCAAAGCGATAAAATTTTCGTCGGAAAATTCTACTTTCCGAACACCTGTTTAGGAAAAACACATTTGTGAAACACATTTCTTTCCGGATCATCCCAAATTAATTAATTTCATTTAAAACCTTAATTATAATACTTTTAAATTTTAAAATTTCATTCCGAATCAATCCCAAGCTAAATTTTAATCGTTTTTAAATTATGAAATTTTATTCCGAATAAATCCGAATCAATTCGTTTCCAAATAAATAGGATTGATTCGGAAGAAAATTTTAGGATTCAAATAGATTAAAATTTAGTTTCGGAATGTAACGAATTGATTCAGAATAAAAAAAAAACAATTTAAATTCTGCTTTAGAACAAAACGGATTGATTTTGAAAAAATAATTTTCGCATTGAAATTTATATTTTGATAGAAACTGATTGACTCGAAAACCAATTTCGGAATGTCTCGTAATAATGCTGAAGTATAAAAATTTAATACGAAATTTTTGTCAGGGCAAAAAACGCAGAGGGTGATGGAGCAATTCTGACTTCAAATTAGTTTTTTGAAGTCAAAAATACTATAAGACACGTATATATAATTAAATGATTTGACAACTCGTTTTCTTTGTGTGCCGGTGTTGTTACTTATATTGTAAAATTTGAAAAAATAAACTTCAATAACTAAATGTGTACCGTATAATTCATAACTTATTTTAATTACTGGTCAACTAAAATAGTCCGCAGAAATAAGTCTACTGACATCCCGCAGACTTTCTATAAACTATTTCACTCATTGTCAAGTGATCATGAAGATAACCAGTTTTATTATTTTAATCTTTTTTTATTAATGTAAAATTTTAATATTTATTGTAATATTAGTTTGTTTTTATTATTTTTATTTAATACCTATAAAAATAAATAGGTTAATGAAACTACACAAGCAGTAGCAAAATTGTTAATACTTTATTGATTAGAAAAAAGAATTACGTTAATAAAAATAGACAAGTAATAGAGAATTAGTCAATACTTCATTGAAAACAACTTTGTAGAGTCCTGCTGCCAGGTAGTTTATTTTTTTATTTGAAAAAAGTGAATCATAAAGAGTTATTATATGTATTATTATTAGTTATATTAAAAGTATATTTCTGTTTATTATAAAAAGAAAATTATTTACTATATTTTTAACATCTGTAATAAAATAAAACTTGTATTATTTATTTTAAATCATACAGATTGCTAAAAAAATTTGGAGAACAAAAATTATTATAAACCTAAACAAAGTTTTAATCAAAATGTCCTGTTAAGAATATTTTTTAATTTTAATTAAATTCTAAAAAAATTATATTTTTACAAGTTTATTTTTCATCTATTGTCTAAGCATATTGCGACTTTTAAGCAGTTAAAAATAAGTTATAATTAAAAATAGATGAAAATTCAGAAATTTAAAAATATCAAAATGCTCTGATATTTCGACGTTTGTTTTGATTAAATTTTAAAACAATTTTTTAAATATAAATTTACGTTTTACTGTTTTTATTTAACAGTTATCTGAAAAATAAATCTAGTAAAAGTAATCAATAGTTGAATTAATCTAAATTGTAAGACAAATATTTTTTCTCCGCGACGGCGCGTCGGCACACAAAAGTGGTCAAAGAATAAAAGTCGCAATTCTTTTTCATATTCACCTTATAGTATTGAAGTATATTTAAAAAATATATACCTGTTGAGTTTTAGAATAAAACGAAACAAAATTAAATTGTACCTTAATGCCCTTCAATTAACGGTTTTGAGATTTTATGAGATGTTTTGTAAAATCTGTAAAAATATTAACATTTCTTAAGAGAAAATTATTATTAGGGGGTTGTATTAAAAATCGCTGTTTCTTTATTAAAGTTTGATTATTTATTATTAACATAAATGAGGAGCTGCACTAATCAAAGTATGTCCCTTCAGAAGTTATAACTTTTAGACATTTTTCTGGTAGAAAAAACTGTTTGTCTTTTGAGGTGATCCACTTACTTAGAATTAAGTCTTTTAATGCAACCTTCTAATAATTGAATTATTATTAATTGCTTAGGATTTTATATCAGATTTAGGAAAAACCAATTATTAACTATTTAATATACGTGGGAATTTGTAAGGCCTGGAAGGCATGATATAATGTTGCTTAAAAAAAAGAGGGTTATCTTTTTTTATATACTTCAATCCTAGGGGATGAGAGCAAAATAATTCCGACTTTTCTTTCCCCTCATCTGCTTTTGGACTACCCTATACGGTATACTGCCATTGACAATGAAAGAAGTTTCGTTCTAAATAAACAGTAATGATTGTATCGAAGTTTAAAATGATAGCTTCTTATAACTGAAAAATTCTGAAAAAAAATTAAATTTCGTATTAACTTTTTATGATAACAAATTTGTGTTACTCATCTTTTAATTTTGAATGTAGATTGCAATTTATAACGCAAAAAACATGAAATTATTTTAATTTTGTTAAACATGAATGTCGCAGTTGAAGTCCAACCAAATAGTTATTTCAAAGAAAGAATTATCAAGTTTTTATAAAAAATAAAAATTTATTTTTATTAAAATTTTGTTCTAAAATCTAGGACCTCGAATTAAAAATGTTTTTTTTGTAATTTACGTGTATAATGTACAGGCATTTCTAAAAAAGAATTATTATTTTCATAGCGAAATTCATGCACTTTTCCTTTTAGTTGAGTTTTATAAAGTAGATTTTTTATTGAAACGACTATCGTAAAAATTTTATTTAAGTGACCTATTACTTAACATAATTTCTATATACTGAATTTTTTAATGCAATATTCCTATTCCACCGAAACTTTTTTTAAAGAAGTTTCATTTCCATCAATGCTTATTTTATTCTCTTAAAACGTTTTAAATTTTTACTTTGCCATATTAGTCATTTTTCTGAAAAAATATGGTAAAAACATTTTAGTGTCAATTTTAAAATCAATCACTTTTTTCATTAAAATAATTTATGATTGGTTAATTTCAAAATTCACGATAAATTGTTGTTGCCAGATATTTTTTCAAAAAATGATTGAGAATTGTGTTTTACAAGTTCTTTCAAATCAGCATTTCTGGAAATGGATCTTTAGTTTAACCCTTAAAGTACTCACTTAAACTTACGTTCGATACACACATGGGCAATTTATATCCCAGAATACTTTAAAAGTTTATATCTTCAGCTACAATTGTTGAAATTCAGTAGATTTTTTTTAATTGATAGAAAATTTTTTCAGAAACACAAAAAATATAGTTTTATTGATACAAAATTAATTTTTAAAAAAATATTTAAAAATAAACAATGACATGTTTTCAAAGAAGGAGCCCAATTTTAAAAAACACATGCGTGATTTGTACTCAGTGTATACTTTTTAAGAGTTAATAAAGATTTAGTGAAATAGAAATTCTGAAATTTAAAAATTTCGTTAAATAAAAATATAATAAAATGAATATTCGTTTAAATTCAAACTTTTAGAATGAAAAATACTCTGTAAATACAGGGAGTTAGATTTTAAATTCCTACGGGAGTCTAAAAGTCTCACCCCTTTGAGTTGAAGTAAAAGTATAATTAATGCTAAGAGAGTAAATGTTAAGGATATTAATCTAATATCCACATTTTTCACAGTGTAATGAATAATAAAAATTAAAAAAAAAAAACAATTTTCATATTTTTGAAAATTCTAGTAAATAGAAATTTAGTTTAATGAAATTTAGGTGAACTAGAGAATCTGATATTTAAAAGTTCAGTTGAATATAAATTAAATACACGTTTTTTAATATGAAAATTTGGTTCAATATAAATTCTACTTTATAAAATTAGGTTAAATAGCAACCCGACTTTATAAATGTCAAAAAACTATAAATTCAGACTCATAATATTAAGAGAATAATTCATGCGTTATAATCGAATGCCGAACTCAATGCACTTGTGTCAGTTCACTTTGAACTCTTATCACTTGTCAAAAGAATCGCTTGATATGGAGATAAACATGAATCAATAGCTTTAACC